ATATATATATATATATATACTTACCAAGCTGTGTTCTGGTAATTTTAAATCTTTTTTGTTAACTGATCACTTTCTAATGTTATTTTAAGGAAAACATTTTTACTTATATCTTCTTAGTTTTTTATTTTGTTGTATAAAGTTATCTCTAATGATAACTTATAAAGAGTGATAAATATGTGTGTGTACATGTCACTGATAATTTGATAACATTTTTTTTAACAATTAGTTAGGTATTATACACATAAATAATCTACAAGTAAAGCAGTGTTAATAGTACATATAAGAACTGTACAGAGCATTTGATTAGTGTCTTTATGTATATCATTTACATACTGAATAATGGCTATTTTACCAACTCATATCCTCATAGCCACATATCCTTTTTGCCACAACTATTTCTTTAGATTGCAATAACAAATAGTATTTTTCAGATAGAGTTTGTAATAATCAGTAGTAAAAGTGCCAGTTTTTTTTCTGTGAGATGTAAAACGTTTATATTAAAAAAGATATTTTATGACTAGGATGTGAAATCATTCATGGTTAAAGTGCAAAATTATAATATTTATGAACTTAATGTGAAAGAGCGTTTAGAAAAAACATGATTCTATTTCCTTTAGGTTGACCAACCTTATCAGATTATGTAGGTAATAAAACATCACTTCCCAACATAGAATCTGTGAAGTCTGATGCATTTCCTCCATTGTTTAATGAGAGTTTCATTATACTAGTTCTTTAAAAATACAGTTGTTGTGTTATGAATCCAATTGTGTACAGATGTTTTAAGATTGTCATTTTGAGGTTCCATTGTATAGTTGTACTGTATGCTTCGCATCCTGGAAATACATGGCATATAGTACTACCAGCTGGAAGAAGATACATACTTATTACTTGTATCTAGCATGTAGGAAAGAAAATCCAATTTCTATCTGAACACTTCTCCTGATTACTGCAGCTTGGAACTCTTAAATACTGTTACAGTGAATGATAACACATTTCAGATTTTTACAAATTAGTATGTGAATGTCTTCCAAAGGATATATTTTTAAGTTTTTTATTTATTTAACAGAAGATCCCATTGAAATTATACAAAAATTTAAACTTTCCTTCAGTTTTGTTTACATTAAATCAGGTTTTCCATACTTACTTGAAAATTGTTCATTTATTGTAGTTGCTAGTGGTCTGTTACTGTGAAATGGCTACTATTTAGCATATATGACATGTGATCACATTTGATCATGAATATAATTATGGCTTTTATATTTATTAATACCTTGAACACGTGGGCAGCCGCAGGAAGGTGCAAGGGGGGCACTTGATTTTCAAAAAGAAAAAAAAAATTACTGGATTTGTAAAATTATTTTGTTATTGGAAAATTGTAAGGTATTTGTAATTACAAGGGTATTGACCTCCCCTGATGTTTTTTATGCAGCTGCTCTTGTTTGAACATAAAAGATTTTTCACTCAACTTTGTGTGAAGTATTTGAGAGCAACAAAATGAAATTGTATGGTTTTATTGTACAGAATTAGGAAAGAGAGAAGTGGATGTAGTTACCGTTCCTAACAAGGAGCTCATTGCTGTGCATGAGCCGAAGTTAAAGGTGGATCTCACGAAGTATTTGGAAAATCAGCATTTTCGCTTTGACTATGCTTTTGATGAGAATTCAGATAATGAAATAGTGTACAGGTGTGTATATGTTTTTTACTTCAGTGCAAGTCAGAGTCTTTATCTCTTCACGTTATATTTGATGTTTAACCTTTTTATTCCCAATATATAATCAAGGGATGATAGCTTCTAAGCAAATACCTACGTATGGGATGGGCACAATGGCAGATTAAGACATCTTGAGGGCCCTTGAACTGTGAAAAATGCCCCATCTTGCATATTATTTTTGTTGTGCAAGACAGGTGTTATTTCACAGTTAAATATACATCTTGGTCTACATATGTGTGTATATTTATAATGAAATTTAGTTTTTTTGTATATCTAATTTTTTAATCATTAGTCCTGTTTTAGCAATATAAATCTTGCTTGAAAAAAATATATTTGTTTATACCTATTATAATTTCAAATAGCACTCCCAATTTAAAAGAAACATTTTTTTAAAAACTCATTTCCTTTCTAATAAATTTTCCTTTTTCAACACTATATCTACAGTATCCTAGTCTAAAATTTTTTAGACCCTCATTTCCCTCAGTGCTCCTAGGCATCATTTCCCTCAGTGCTTCTGGGCATCATTCCCTTAATGCTTCTGGGCATCATTTCCCTTAGTGCTCCTGGGCATCATTCTCCTCTTTCCTTCCATTAATCTGCCACAGAATGGGCAGAAGAATTCTAAAAAAAAGTAAATAATTGCATTGTTTACAGGTTACGAATGACAAAATTTCAATTTAGAATTATGTCTGAGGGAAAAAATTGTTGAAATAGTTATAAGTCTTCTTTTCACTTGAATTTACAAATTTGATGTGCAGATGTGCACTAAACACATGGAAGGTGCTCAGTGGTCCAAAAAGGGTTAATTAAAAATTAGTCATTTTGTTTACAGACATCACAAATATTTAAACAATCAAAAGTGACATATGTAAAACAAGTTGGTTTTATATCTATGGTAATGGATGGTTAAGATGTCTTTACATTTGCAAAATATTTTGGATTATTTCCCAAAGATCATATAATAAATGGGCCAATTTCCCAGAAATAGGTAATGTTTCATGAGAATCAAAAATCTGCAGAAGTTGAAAATAGCCAGCTTTTAATGTGGTAGTAAGTATATTTTTAAAATGGGTTATTCATCCTAACTCCTGTCTACTAAGTTGCAATATATATTTCTTCACAAATGGTAACAGATAAGGTAATGTGTAATTTACCTCTGTTATGTGGGTAATGATCTGTAGTATTGATAGGTAGGTGAAAAACAAAAGGTCGGGGAAGGTTAATTTTCTTATCATTTGCTGTGGACTACTAAAGAACTCGGAATGCTTATATACCCTTAACTATTTTTGGGGATTTGAACCTATCCCAAATTCTTGGATTTTATTGTGGATTCACACCATCCCTCATCAGGAGTGAATAAGAGAACATATAGCTCATATAGACACTAATTTGTATTAAAAACTGAATATTTAAAATGTTTCATGGTAAGCCTAACTTCAGACAATAAAAAGTCTTATATTTTTTTGTAAAATATAGAGCTTTAGAGTGAAAATAAGAGAAAAAAAAATCCTCAAGTCTTTTCAAACATTTCTTTAAATCTGAGTTTTAAAAGTACAACAAACTGCGTAGCATTTTTAGTGCAAATTTTATTTTAATCTATCTTTAGGTTTACTACTAAACCTTTGGTGCAAACAATATTTGATGGAGGAATGGCTACTTGTTTTGCTTATGGTCAGACAGGAAGTGGAAAAACACATGTGAGTAGCTCCCAGTTTATTCAAACAAAAGTTACGGTAATGCAGATAACCCCTTTTTTTCTTCTTTTTATTAGGATTTTTGTAAATAATTATCAGATCCTTTGTGATACTTGTGTTTTAGCAAATTTCATTGTTAAATTACAAATAAAAATTAGAGACTATTTTCTGTATGATAACTTAGTGAAACATATTTACCAATTTCTTGTTTTAATTTTTCACTAGACAATGGGTGGAGATTTTCATGGGAAATCACAAGATTGTCATAAAGGAATTTATGCTTTAGCAAGTAAGTTGAGAAAATAACAGAAATATTCATGTTCATAATTAATATAACTAACATGTGATATTTTCTTCTTGAGATAAATAAAAATATGCATTTCACAATAGCTTTTAATGATTTTTCATACCATTCGTGTCACTAAAGTTGAGATTAGAGTTTACATATCTCCCTGTTTTTATCGGTTAATATCTTATACAGGTTCTTATTTCTTACCTTAAGAAAATTTCTCCTTTCAATCAATCATCGATAAGCTTACACTCTGATAAACGAAATATTTGAAGATACTGTTGTTGGTTGGTGGCAGAAAATTCTCTCTTTCTCTTACTGTGTCTATTCATACAGATCTTTGTGACAGTAAATCAGTTTATATGTATTAAAATCCACACTAAAGAATTTAATTGTTTGTTTTATAATATGAAAATTTAACCATAAAAAATGGACTTATTTATGTCTGTGCAATTTTTTGTACCAGTTTCAAGGGCCAGGCACGGCCAGGTGGTTAGGGGACTCGACTCGCAATCTGCAGGTCGTGGGTTCGAATCCCTGTCACACCAAACATGCTCGCCCTTTCAGCTGTGGAGGCATTATAATGTGACGATCAGTCCAACTATTCTTGGTAAAAAAGTAGCCCAAGAGTTGGCGGTGAGTGGTGATGACTAGCTGCCTTCCCTCTAGTCTTACACTGCTAAATTAGGGGCAGCTAGTGCAGATAGCCTTCGTGTAGCTTTGCACGAAATCCATAACAAACAAACAAACCAGTTTCAAAATTCTTCTTGTTATAAAAGCATCTAAGTTACCCAAAATTCAGTGGCTTCTCAATTTGTATGAGAAACAGTTTCAGCTCAAATTCTCTATAATTCTCCTAAAAATTTACAAATATTTGTATGACATTTGAGGAATCTGAGTTTGAGCAAGTCCTAAGTGACATCAGACTTGCTCTGTGGGGTTTTTCATCCCCTAGCAACTGTTTTTTTCCTGTGCAATCTCCCAAATCATAAACTATTGAGAGGGACAGTTTTTTTTCTTCTTACTTTAGAAAAGCTCACTATAACAAAGTATGAGAAGTGATTGTACTTGATCTTGTAAAATGATCCATCACAACTTTGATCTACTTACTTTCATTACTTGACTATGTTAGTGGACCTATGCCATAGCATGACTTTAGCTGCAAAAGTCAAAAGAAGGAAAGATGGTTACATATCACTCTTATTTAAATATGTATGTGGCATCAGTTGCTGCTGAATTCTTACCACTGATATATCACAGATGGTCTTGGAAATGATGAAGTCTTTCTGAATGTAACTATTTGGGTAGTGACAGCTGGAGTTTTTAAATGTGTTTTAGCATATCTTCCTTTTTCTGTACGGGATTTTGCTACAGAGTTAATCCCACTGAGATCAGTACGTCTTAGTCTATGGTCTGTAAGGAGTTACTGTCTGCCAAGATAGTCTTTCTCCTTCACATTTAAATTCATTTTACAATCATTCATGAACATTCTGAAGTTATTTTATTAATCACATAAATCACTATGTAAAGACATTTGTAAAACAGCTTGCATTGCTGTTAGCTAACATTGGATATCTAATGTTTATGGTATCTCAAGTCACCATTACTGGAGAACTTCTTTGACAGTGCCTCAGCATTTCCTTGGTTCTGTCCAGGTCCTTGAACTTGAACTATATTTTATATGAATGTTTTTACCAGACTCTGTGTATTTTTCAAAAATCCCCAACAATCATAATGCTGTATGGTCAGTGATTAAACTTGTGTGTGTACAGACAATGATGAAAACAATTCATACATTAATCATTAATGGTTTCTTAGGAGTATTACAGTATTTTCTTTCTGAGCTCATTGTTTACTAAAGTACCCTGTCATCTTTTCCATCCTACAATTGTAATAACATAGTATCATCTGAAGTCTCTCTTTCATTTGTGTCGGTTGTCACTGTATGTTTGGATAGGCTAATACTTATGCTGCTATAAAAGGACTTTTTTTTTAGATCAATGAATGCCTGTTCACATTCATATTTCAACAGAACTTGTGTGGTTTAAAGGAGGATCATATCAGAAAGTGACATAAAACTAATATACAATCTAAAACTCAATAAGTTTGATGTACGATCACATCAATAAACAGTATTAATTTACAGCTATATACACATATTTGGAACCACACATACAGTATAGGTTAGACAAAATTAATAAAGCTTGCTAATGTTTTTGACAGGTTTATGTTAGTGCTTACATTGGTAGGATATTAATCTATAAAGTTTTTTTATAATATGTTATGTGTTTTCATACATTATTTTACATGTACAATAAATTTATTGTTATTTTTTTTTTTTTTTTTTTTTATTTTTTTTTTTTTTAAATTATCTAGCCAAAGATGTGTTTAGGCTTCTAAAGTCTGCCAAGTTTCGAGACGAGGATCTTATGGTGACATGCAGCTTCTTTGAAATATACAGTGGAAAGGTAAAAAACAGCTTACAATAGAGAAATTTTACTTTTTTTGTGCACTATTAATTACCACAACTATTGATGGACTGAAGGCTCATTTTAATAAGAATTGAAACCTTACTAACACATGCTTACAGTTTTTGGTATATATCTGGTGAAACAGATTTTCAAAGCAGCTCCAGACATGGTAGACTTACATTATTGGAGTGCAGCATTACCTAGAATGTTATTATATAAGAAGGTAATGAAAGCTTTGTTAACTATTGCTTAAAGACAGTGTCTAAATTATCCAAAACCAGCTTACATCCTCACCACTCTTTACGTTTGAGATGTCACATCATCTCCAGATTAACCAAGATCTTACCCTGTAAATCTGCAGTTTCTTTAACACTGGAGAATACAGATAAGCAAATTATAAATCATAGCATAGCATAATAGAAAAAGTAATTTTACACCTTATTCAACATTAAAGAATACAGTTACACAGTTATCAATTAGAAACATAACACAGTAAATTTACACTTTATTTAACACTAAGGCAGATATCCTTGGTATCTTTGTCATAACTCAAAAACAAAGAAACAAACATAGTGCTTCTGTGGCTGAAAGGGCAAACGTGTTTGATGGCACATGAAATGAATCCCAAATCCTGGATTCACAAGGCAACCCCTCTAATCACCGAGCCATACCAGCCCAAAATCTAACAAACTTGAATTCATATAAAAAATAGAAATCTTAGTAACATTATTTTAATTACTTGAACAGTTGTAATACTCATAATTTCAACAAGGCGAAAATGGTACCTGATGATGACAAAACTTTGTCGAAACGTTGTACATTTACTGTTATGTTAAACTTATATTAAAGTTTTTCTTCATTACCCATTCAAGCCGTCTCCAGCCATTATTACTCTATAGATACGTTAGCTTGTAGTTCTGGAGCTCCATACATTCTGTAGATACGTTGGCTTGTAGTTCTGGAGCTCCATACATTCTGTAGATACGTTGGCTTGTAGTTCTGGAGCTCCATACACTCTGTAGATACCTTGTCTTGTAGTCCTGGAGCTTCATACACTTTGTAAATACCTTGTCTTGTAGTCCTGGATCTCCATACGCTCTGTAGATACGTTGGCTTGTAGTCCTGGAGCTCCATACACTCTGTAGATACCGTGTCTTGTAGTCCTGGAGCTCCATAAACTCTGTAGATACGTTGGCTTGTAGTCCTGGAGCTCCATACACTCAGTAGGTAAGCTGGCTTGTGATCCTGAAGCCCCATACACTAAATAGATAAGTGCGCTTGAAGTCCTGGAACCCTATACAAACTTATGAAATACCTGACACCTTAAAGTGCTTAAGTTTCAGTAATTTTAAGATATGAAATATTAAGTAGCATGAGTAGATGTTATTTCAGACAAACTAGATCTAGCTAAATTTTTCAAAGACATTATTGTCACTTTATAGTTTTAATCATAGAAGAGTAACAGTCAGTTTATGCTTAATTATATTTACAAGTTTTATATTATATATTATAGGTATTTGACTTACTTAATAATAAATCCAAACTACGAGTGCTAGAAGATGGGAAGCAACAAGTACAGGTGGTAGGCTTGCAAGAGAAGAAAGCAGGGTCTGTGGAAGATATTTTGAACCTGATTCAACGTGGAAATAGTGTTCGGTGAGAGGTCCTGTTATGGTATAAACCTGTTATTTTAGAAAATACTAGAATTCTTAGAAAGAATGATCAGGATAAACATGTTTTATTTTTTAGTCATGAAATTCACCAGTTACAGGTGATAAAATACATGCATTACAGCATAACATAATACAACTTGGAATTACTTTCTTTATTCTATGTCAGTAAGTTTCTATTGTTATCTCTGTATAGAGCTACATTTATTAAATTGTATATTAGCTATTGTTGTGTCACCAATATTGTTTCTAATTATTGAAATTGTCTTTTACCTCTTTAACTCTCTCAACATGGGCTCTGTCAATTTGACTGACCATGTGACCTCTTTGTACTCTTTCAAAGTCTTTATGGATTTGATACTATTAACCTTTAATATAGTATGCATATCTTCATGAAATTTGGCAATCTTTCAGTAAACACTATAAGTCTTTCACATAAAAAAAAATATTTTTAGTGAAGTATTTTTAATAAACTAAAAAAAATATTTGTACCTTTGAA